TGTAAAATGATAAAGTCAGGGGCCAATGGAGCAAAGACACTGACCAACAGAAGTCAGTAAAGGTTCACCCATCCCAGAGGGAGCCATTTGGAGTGCTGGCCACTCACAATTCAGAGGGACACCAGGCTGGGGACCATTTAAGGGCATTTAGTAGCATCAAGTAAAATGGAAACAAAAACTCTAGAGGTGAAAGGTGAAAATTAAATCTATAAGCTTAATTTTTCCTCTCTGGTTAAAGAGCCCAAACAGCTTGGTTTTTAAAATTGTAATTTTCCTTGTGTTCCTTCTATTTTTACCATGTTCCAAAATGATGGGAAATTGGACTGTATGAGTATATATATCTTGACTCATAACAGCCAAAGCAACATCAAAAGAATTAACAGAACTCTATTTTATTCTGGGCAACAACTGAAAAAAAGCCTTCTAGCTTCCTTTTAGCACCACCAACCTCTCTTCTCCAGTCCTACCCACCCCAGGCCAAAACTGAGAAACAGAAAATTTTCACGATTATTTCTTTCTGAAAGCCCAGTATTGGGACAATACCTTTAACTTAGTTCAAATCCTGGCCCTACCATGGTATCATAGGCATTTTTTCAACCTGTGGACCTCAGTTTTATCATGTTAAAAAGGGGGTAATAGCTCCTTCTGTTATTCTTATCAGACCCCAAACACTCCCCTTTCCACCTTTCCTTCCCCCAAATCTGCTCCTCCTCAAGGCCCAGCTTACCCATCCCAACCCACACTAAAGCATTAATGACTTAATATTTGTATTTTCATTTTAATAAGTTACCCACTGGAACAATTCTTATAACTGAACTATATCACCCCCGGTGCAATGAGGTACAGCTCAGTTAGCAGGGGTGGGATGGAGTGGGATCTTCGGTTCCATCTAGGTAACTGCCTAGACCTTTTTCCCAAAGCTAGTTCTGCATTTATTGTTAACACAGAAGCTGGTTTTACAAGTTGGTTTTAAAAGTTCAGTTAAACAATACAAAATCCCACCAGGCTTTGGCACTGAGTGTGTAGAGACCCTCACAACAAAAACCTTCCCTTCCTTTTTCTTTTCAGGTCCCCACATCCAGTTAACACTAAACGAGGACATCCAGTATGGTTAGCAGCCACCGAGAATTTGCAGAGCACCATACTTTTCTTCTGAGTGGACTCTTGTCTTTTTTTTTTTTTAAGATGACCAGTAAGGGGATCTTAACCCTTGACTTGGTGTTGTCAGCACCACGCTCTCCCCAGTGAGTTAACCGGCCATCCCTATATAGGGATCTGAACCCGTGGCCTTGGTGTTATCAGCACCGCACTCTACCGAGTGAGCCACGGGCCAGCCCTCTGAGTGGACTCTTGAACAGCCTAAAATCTTCCATGGCCAGATAAGGGTGGTGAAACAAAGGTTGGCCTAATCTAGTATTCTAAGGACTAAAGAAATCAGTATTCAAACCAAAAGAAACCAAATTTCATTTTGCTTCATTTATTTACAAGTTTTACTTAAATATCTCTAATTGTATGATTAGAAAATGTGTCAAATACGAACCTTGGTATATGGCTTAAAATACAAATGCCAGTAATTATTTAAGAACGTGGTTAAATAATTGTTCCAAGCAAATGTGAGATAAGAAATACCTTCCAGGAAGCAAAGTCTGGTGCTTGAGGAGTAAGGGACAGAGCCTGAGTTTGCTCAGATGGTTCCAGGACAGTCTAAACATGCCTTCCGCTAGGCAACGTGCTCGGCAGCTTGCATCACAGGCTGTACCACCAGCCTTTATCCCCAGCTCCGAGGCTACACCAGGGCTTTTTCTGCCAGTGGAAAGAGTCACACTTCAGAAACAAATGAACCACTTTAAGATGAAAGTTGGATGGCTCAGTTCCAGGATATTCTGGTTTAACCTGCGAAGTTAAGGCTTCCCAAAAGCTGTCAAATGAAGATAGATCACAGGGGCTGATGGACAAAAGAGTCAAGCCTGACTCATTCTGAACACATTTTTTGGTTCCATAATAATAACTCGAGTTTGAGCTGTTTATATTTCACTCATGTTTAAAAGGTGCCAACTCCATTGTATCTAAGCTGGACTTTACCCCATGTACCCAAATGTACTTCTGGGAAAAATATGTTTATATAAAGTTCACCTCAAAGTTTACACTTTCATGATAATAAATTAACTTTAATTTTACAAATATCTCAGAAAGCTGAATCTAAATAACTTGATCTAGCATACTAATTTGAATTTAGAATACCATCTTTTCTATCCATTTTGAGCAATCCCCAGAATCTACAGAGCTGTACTATTTATGTATAAAACAATATCTAAATTATGTCAATATTATCAAAAGTTCTTACCTAAAATGATACATATGCAATTTTAAGCACCAAAGCATACTTTCTTCAAAAGTTACATTCAAAATATTAAATGTTCAATCTCACTTTTTAGTTCATTTAAAAAGTCTCAATATTGAAATCTCTATATGAAAAGAATGATAAATACTTTAGAACCTGTTAAGTACCACTAACCTCCTCTCAAATCCCATATACCAACTAGAAAGCAGGGAAATCTATTAGGCAGAGGAAAAACAGATACATTTCAGGACCTAGTGAGAAGTCTGTGTTTTCTCAGCTGTCCCACAAGTTACTGAATCAGATACTTATGTCCCATGCTAGGCTCTAAAGGAGGATTCAGACACTCTGTACACTGGTAAAAATGCCAAGGGTACTCCAGGGCTTAGCTGGCATAAAGAACAAAGGATACAGAAAATGTCAGATAAGTAGAGTCCTTGGTTCTAGCAACAAACCTTCACGCTAGCAGAATGGTAGTGATCCATATTTTATTTTTGAGTTAAGATCTAGGACATCAGAAGGAATACTAATGGTTTCAGAATAAAAGGATCAAGGCTTAAGTGCCCAAAAGAGAATTTTTCTTTTTTTTTTTTTTTAAAGATGATCTCAACCCTTGGCTTGGTGTTGTCAGCACCACACTCAGCCAGTAAGCGAACCGGCCATCCCTATATGGGATCCGAACCCGTGGCCTTGGTGTTATCAGCACCGCACTCTCCCGAGTGAGCCACGGGCCGGCCCCTCAAAAGAGAATTTCTCAGATGAATCTGCATCACTAAACAGTTACTCTGGAAAATGCAGAGAAACATCCCCAAGCTAGAAATACTCCAGACTTGTCAGACATCAATAAAAATAAGGAAGCCAAAACTAGTTATCTGCTTCTCTTTTCAGTGCATGGCATGAGGGGATGAGATGAGGACAGGGACCAACTAATACAGTTCAACTATATTGAAGGATTCTGCCTGATGTGGTACAGGAAAACAAAACTGTTGGTTTTCTGGGACTATATTTGTGTTTCCATTTACAGACACATTTCCTGTTGTTCAAATGCCACAGCAACTCATTATATGAAATTCATCCCCCAAAAAGGATCCACATGATTGTATTTTCCTTTTTTTTTAAAGATGACAGGTAAGGGGATCCTAACCCTTGACTTGGTGTTGTCAGCACCACACTCTCCGAAGTGAGCGAACCGGCCATCCCTATATAGGGATCCAAACCTGTGGCCTTGGTGTTATCAGCACCACACTCTCCCAAGTGAGCCGTAGGCCGGCCCCACATGATTGTCTCAAGTATATACAAGGACTCTGCAGCCCACAGAAACCAATACAAGTTACATTTTTATTTTTGCCCCAACTCCTATACTAAATATGGTCTAATTAATTCTTGAGGAGTAGCAACAGTAACATCCCACAGTCTAGGGGCAAGTGTTACATCTCATAAGTCTCATACCTCCCTCTTTCCCACTGCCTCTCAAGATGCAGAAAGCCTCGGTTAGTTGTTGTTTGTTAAGTCCTTCATGTTTTCACCTCTTCGGATTAAGGCTGAATCTTAAATCCATAATCCACTGAATAAGCTGTGCTGCGTAAACGTGTCACAACTGCCATATGTGATCACATTTTCTCCCTTCCTGCAACCATCAGGGAAAGGTTCTTTCGAGACAGTATTGCATCAGCAGCAGCAGCAGGGTGAGGGGGTTCAACATAGCAGAGGTAGAAGGGTTGTATTAAGTGGAAGTAACAGAACAATCTTTAAGAGGTATAATCCGAAAGGTTAAACGCTATGAATAACTCTCCAGAGGCTAAGCCCACGGGGAAATTTTACTAATGCAGGAAAGGCCAGGAGTTGAGGCTTAGATACAAGTTACCTCCAAGTATGGCTCAAAGGTACAGGAGTGGGACTCAGTGGAGGGGACCAAAAGCTGCACAAGTAAATTCAGCTGGTCTACAGACCTAGACCCTTTCATCTGCAGCTGAAAACCAAAATAAGTCATTCCAAACATTCTCATAGTAGGCCTATTCGCAAGTTTGAGGATTCAGTTTTAAAATAAACCAAAACAGAACTAGTATGCAGCATTACAAAATGTTTTCACAGATTAATCACAAAAAAAGTTAGAATACTGCATGGAAAAATATCCTGTAGTGTGCTTTGTAAACCTAGGCTTTAGTAATTAAAAGAATAAAACAAATAAAACTCTTCATAGTCTAGAAGTCCATGATTATGAATTCAGGAGAATTGTCAAATTTGCAGATTTTGCAGCAAGACTTCAGAAGATACTGAAGTTCTTTATTCTTAGAATCATGATTAAACTTATCCTTTGAATGCTCAGGCTGACACCATTTAACAACGTCATTATAAAAGGACATGGGCCACGTGAGCCAATTCTATGATCTTTCTGCTGTGCTCTCCCTGCTTAGAAATGTTGACCAAAACATGTAGGGACATGAAATCACTGCTATTGTTTTTAAATCTAGGCTGTTTTTTTCCCCCTCATGCTAGTCAATTATTTAGCAAGCTACATCTGTCTGCCCTTTTAACACTAAGGTTTGAATAGCCAGTCTAAGAGTGAGTGAGGGCTGGCCAGTTAGCTCAGTTGGTTAGAGGGCAGTGTTGATAAAACTAAGGTTGAGGGTTCGGACCCCCGTACTGGCCAGCCCCTAAAAAAAAAAAAAGAATAAGTGAAAATATTTTAAAAGAGTATTTATGTTAACCTTGGCAATAGGATGGGAGACTCTTAACCCCCCTTGTAATAGGCGTCAATTGAGTCTGAGTTAAAATACACCACAGTAACAGTGATATCATCCCTGTACATCCTTGCCAAGTCCTCTGGCAATGTCAGCATCGCTGCCAGCCGCTCCGGCTCCACCTCCCTGTACTCGTTGCTCCCAATGGCGTGTCTAATCAGATGTGTGGCTGCATTTTGGTCTGCCACATGGAGCCCACTGGCTTTCCTCTGCAGCAACAGGCTCTGCATGAGCCCTAGGTTGGCGGGTTTCTGGGCCAGATCTGGTTTATGCTGACCCGGTTCAGCCAGGTGCCCCACCACCAGCCTCACCACATCCTCATTGCCCAGCATGTCCCACAGGCCATCTGAGGCCAGCACAAGGAATTTATCCTGGGGCCTCAGCCTGTGGTATGTGACCTCAGGCTCGGCGGTCAGGTAGGGTGGAGTATAGTAGTGTGGGGGAGTGAACTGGTAAATGTTGAGGGCCTCAGTATCAAAGCCCCTCTCTAGGACGCTGCGCTGCAGCTCTTTACTCCACTTCAGCTGGACATCCCCGAAGGCTCTGCAGGGCATGAGGACACCTAGCAGCCTGTTGTCCATGATGATCGTCCTGTCCTCTGACTCAGGGTGCTCCCTCTTTAGCCGGGACAGCTCAGCCTGGTTCCAAACATTGTGGTCATGGGTGAGAGGAAGACAAGACCACATGCCATTGTCCTCCTGGACACCAAGAATGGCCCGGCAGTCACCAGCATTTGCCACGTGCAAGTGAATTCCATTGACATGAGCCATGCAAGCAGTTGCCCCAGAGAAAGCAACCTGGAGTGACAGGTTCCTTGTCATCTCATCTTCAAGAGGGGCCTGGATTTCCAGTGAGATGTCAGAATCCAGTCTCTGGAATGAGTACATTAATGCTTCCTCAATGCTCAGTCCCATTCCCATGTGCAGGTCAAGTAGTTCCTGCCAATAGACACGGAGGTGGTCAAGATGTACTGACGTGACATCCTTATAGATACTGTCCCCCGGATGCTTGAGCCACTGTAGGATGGGCAGCAGGGGCTTCATGCTTTCCATTGCTCCCTCCATCTGCTCCAGGGTCTGGTGGGACATCAGGGACACTGCCACATAGTAGAAGAGCCTCTCGCTCACGGCTTGTGCACATGCGTGACCACCATGTCCATCAAAGATGCCAAACATCAGTCCGCTGGTCTGCAGACAGGAGGCTATACCTCGCCGGTCCTCCACTGGGGAATTGGCAGCCAACTGGTTGCTCTCAAACCGCAACACTGAATTTGGGACTCCACTGTCAACATCAAGAATCTTGTGGACTGACTCTCCAGCTCGAAGCACTTCATTTACCTGCTCAGGGCTGAGCTGCAAGTGGAAATCATCCTCCTCCGTCGATGTGTGTCTGTGGGCTTTCCACAGATTGAAGCTACCACATGCAGAACTGTTTTTTAGGGTGAGTGGCAGCTGTGAAAAGAGTCTCCATTTTGATTTATTCCTATTTGAGACACATCTTGAGTATAAGCGTTTGCCTCCTTGTAATGTGGCAATGCTGTTCCTTGCAGAATTTAAGATCCAGTAGGACACAGTACTTGACATTCTGACACTACACCAGCAAATTGTTCCTTCAACAAAAGGGGATTTTTTTTAAGCCTGAAAATTAAAGAATTTAAGAAAGTTTCAAATTTAATTTCTTAAAAATAATGACTTCTGAAAACATTTAATTTGCTAATATCCTTAGCAAAAATTCAAAACACTAAATAAGTCTCCCTATGCCCCATTATTACACATAAACACATCGCAGAAAGTTGGAAAACAAGTTTTTACACATTCTCTGCTTTTACAGAGCCACCAAGGGCTTCACTCCTTCCTCCCAGCTGACCCAGAGGCCCCTTTTCCTCTCCTTCCCAAATCCTTCTCTTGCTAGAGGCTAGTGTCTAGCTAGCCTAGCGTTCACACTCTCCCCAGCAGACTATAAGTGTTCATTTAAATATCTGCTTCCCCACTAGTCTATAAGCTCCACAAATTCAGTTACTGTGGCTCTCTTATTCACCAGAGGCTCTCCATTGTCCAAACCCTGTGCCTGGCACACAGTAGTTCCTCAGATATAGACTAAATGTGGTATTTTCAGAGGCCCAATAGCATACTAGGTATGACTCTAGTTGTCTAACATCAGACACACCACTTCACTTGTCTGAGCTCAAGTTATCCACTGGTGTGATGGGAATACTAGTCTCAAAAGGTGTTGTGAGAATTTAGTGAAATATGACCCTTCCACTCAAAAAACACTTGCTGTTTGAATGTTTGTCTCCTTTTTTTTTTTTTTTTTCCTTTTTATCTTTTTTAATGACCGGTAACGGGATCGCAACCCTCGGTGTCGCGCCCGTACCAGGGACCGGCAACGGGATCACAACCCTCGGTGTTGCGCCCACACCGCACTCAGCCAGTGAGCGGGAACCGGTCTCCACATGGGATCCGAACCCTCGGCGGGAGCGGCGCACTCTCCAGTGCGCCACCGGCTGGCCCATCCTTTGAAACTATACTGAACTTAATCTCCGATATAACAGTATTATTAAGAGGGTGGGAAATCCGACTATGGTATTTGAAAGGTGAGACATTTAAAAGGTGATTTGGGGGCCAGTCTGTGGCTCACTTGGGAGAGTGTGGTGCTAATAACACCAAGGCCACAGGTTTGGATCCCATATAGGGATGGCTGGTTAGCTCACTTGGGAGAGCGTGGTGCTGACAACACCAAGTCAAGGGGTAAGTTACCAGTTATCTTTTTATTAAAAAAAAAAAAGTGACTGGGTCATGAGGATTCTGCCATTAATGGATGAATGAGTTAATGGATTAATGGGTTATCACAGGAGTGAGTCTGTAATAAAAGCCATTTGGCTCTCTCTATCATGGGCCCCTCTCACCCTGTGATGCCTTCTGCCATGTTTATGACACAGCAAGAAGGCCCTCACCAGATGTGGCTCTTCCACCTTGGACTTCCCGGCCTCTAAAAGAAATAAATTAAAATTTCTTTTCTTTGTAAATTTGTCTCAGGTATTCTGTTATAGAAACAGAAAAGAGACTAAAACAAAGGTAGATATTATTTATATCACTGGGTGTATACTCCAGTCATTCCATACATATTTTTTATATAGTTGTAGCCACAACTTGGAATCTGGCTTTCCTGTTAAGAGCATGTTTTTTTTGTGATATTACACTTAATAAATATGTTTAATAAATATGTTTCAGCATAAACAATCACAATTTAACTATTCTCTATTGCTGGGAACTTAGAGGTCGTTTCCATTAACTTGCAATTTATAAAACACCAAACTGCACTGTCTTATGTTACAACCTTTTCCTTACTTAGATTTTATCCTACTTATTTCCCCAACAAGGAATCAGTGGGTCAAATGGTGTAGACTCATTGCCAAACTGATTCCCCAAAGCTTGACATCTTTCTCCACAAGGGCATGAAGGGAACAATTCCCTAGTACCTTCATCAGCCTCTAGGTGGTATTTTTCCTTGGACAAAAAAAAAAAAAAAAGCTGCCTTTTTATAATTATCTTTTCTCCGGTGATCCAGGAGTTGGAGCGTTTCCCACGTGTTTTCGAGTTTCGTTTAGGAATCCTGCCCTCCCCAGGTTTGTCTGTTGGGATCGCGAGAGCTCCCAGCACTGAGGACCGTCGCCTTACCCTACATATCACCCCTTTGAACTTGGGGGCAGGGGAGGTCGGTCAGGGAGCGCAGAAGCCGCCTGACCCTTCTGGGCCTGCACAGAAGGCAGGAAGCGGTGCCCGACGCAAGGCCGTCAGCGGCAGCTCGGACTCAAACAATGTCGTGTACCCAAGTAAAGCAAATAGGTCCCAAGTTCAAGTCTCTAACCACAGTCTCATAGAGAGCGGGCTCCGGAATCCACCAAGTTCAAGTCGCTAGCCGCAGCCTCAAGTGAGCAGGCTCCGGAGTCCACCAAGGCCGCTCTCCCTCAAACCCCAGGGCAGCCACGTCCCATCTGGGTGCTCCCGCGCGAGCGGCTTGGGGTCTCCGAGTCTCAGGGGAATTCAGTCGGGACGTGGAGTTCACAGGGGTGCTCCAGAGGCCACAGCAGCTAGTGCGGGTGTCCCCGTACGCAGTCAACGGTCCTCTGCGAGTCCGCAGGCCCACGTGGCGCGTGCGCACGAGTGGGGTGACCGTGAACGTGGGCCCATCTGTCCCTCCCGACAGCGGACCCGCCCCCTCACCTCCGCTCTCCGCCCCATCACCTGAGCCAGTGCCGCGGGCCGGAGAAAGGCAGGCGCCGGCGAGACCCGGCTGGGGAGGAGGCGTCCACGTGGCCCACTCATCCCTTTCCCCGCCTCGGACCCTCGCCCCCTTCTCACCAGCTTGCGCGGTCGCCACCCGGTCGCGCCCGTCACTCCCGCGCCTGCGCAGTGCCGCGGCTGCAGCCACCCCGCCTTCACCTCTCAGAGGCAGCCTCTAGTCGGGACCCAGCTCCGGAGGAAGCGCCCTCGCGCCGGCTCTGATTAGTTCACCCGCGTAGGCGGGTCCTTGACGGACGGCAGTGTTGCCCAATGGCTGAAGAGGGCGAGAGGCAGGCAGGCCGGACCAGGAGGGGCCAGCACGGTCCCGACCCCCATCCCGCACTGGTTCTGACCGTATTTGAGCTCAGGGTTACGGGAACAGGCAGTCGTGTGGCTGAGCGCCCCACCTATGTGGCTGCCACACTCTGCATCCCCCGAGCCGAGTAGTCTCTCCAGTTCTTTACTGTTAATAATACCCCGTGGCTTCCTCTCCGTTTCTGTGTCAACCACTCCAGAACCCTCTCCTAAGCGCCACACGCTTATATTCAACAACCTGGATACCTCTACCTGGCGCGCTTCAAACATAACTAACTTGCCCCGAACTCATCTTCCAGCCAAACCTGCTCTTCCTCTCCTCCCCTAACCCAGTAGTGGCCCCCTACCCCAGACCCAAGTCAGAAACCTGGGATCATTTTGACGCCTCCTTCTCCCCCGTCAATCCTACCTCCTAAATAACTCTCCACCCATCCTTTTGCCTGCAGCTTCTGCAGCTCCCTAATCCAAGCCCCTCACCTGGTATTCCCAGCTCCAATTTCCACTTGCTCCTAACCACCCTTCCTCCACAGAGCAGCCAGAGTGACCCTCCTAAAACTCAAACTCCTGCTCTAAAGTCTTCATTGGCTCTCCAGCAACCACGGACCTTGAACTGACAATTCCATTGGCCTGCCATCTACGATTACCATGGCATGGTTAGCAGTTGGCAGGTTGAGAAAGGCAGAGAACCAGGACACCAGGTATTCCCTCAATCCCTTCTAGTCCTAATGTTACTGGATTAAACTCTTGGGCCCCAAAGTCATAGAAACGAACAATGTACCCAGCAGTAAAGCAAGCGACGCTTTATTAAAGGAGGAGATAGACTTATGCATAAGTGGGGTAGCCACGGGAAAGCTAGCCCCCAAGGGGAGCTGTTCAGGATCTTTTATAGGAAAAGGAGTTAAGGGGTACAGACCAGCATCACTAGAGGTGGTCCATTCTGTTCTTCCTGGTTGCATCATGGGCGCATACTCAGTTAAGGCTTTGGTCCTTGCACCTGCTCAGTAGGTCCAAGATGGTGGTGGTGTTCGTCATTGTCACCCCAGGAGGGTCATTGTAGCAATCACCTTGGAGCTTCGTGTGCATGCGGGATTTCCTAAAGGGGTCTTAAGATTAATCTGTACTTAATTTTTACAATTATGGTAAACAATCCTTAGGGAGGGGTTTTGCAGCTCAGTAAATATCTGTTCCCCTCTTATCTAAGTTTATTTTATCAGGGCGGGCCATGGGGTAATGATGTGCTCTGTGGGGGTCTCATGACTGAGGAGTGGAAAAGTAACAAAGTGTCCTCTGCAGGGAAAATGAAGTCAGTTTGGTTCACAGGCAAGCCTTACTCTGTCTCAAGGGGAACAGATATTTACTGAGCTGCAAAACCCCTCCCTAAGGATTGTTTACCATAATTGTAAAAATTAAGTACAGATTAATCTGAAGACCCCTTTAGGAAATCCCGCATGCACACGAAGCTCTCATGACTGAGGAGTGGAAAAGTAACAAAGTGTCCTCTGCAGGGAAAATGAAGTCAGTTTGGTTCACAGGCAAGCCTTACTCTGTCTCACTACCATCTTGGGATTCCAGTTATCACCTGCTGCTTATAAATTATTTTAATAGAACTCTTCTAACTGTGGTAACTCAAATGCAGTCTGCCTTGGGTTGAATGAGGGTGGGAAATCCTATTAATGTAATTGAAAAGTGGGGTCTTAAAGATGTGATTTGGTTGATGGTTTAATGGTGGTCGTGGACGTGATTCTGGGGACTTCAAAAGGATAGCAAATGAGGAGCTATCTTTCTCTCCGTTCTGTCATTTTTTCTCATTGCTGCCATGTAGGACCCCTGCATTGCTGTAAAGCCACCACCAAAGACCCTCACCATATGTGTTCCCTGGACTTTGGACTTTCCAGACTCTGAAACCGTGAACAATAAATTTTGTTTTCTTTATAAATCACCCAGTTTCAGGTGTTTATGTTATAAGCAACAGAAATGGACTAATACAGAGTCCTTCCGTGGAGGCAGAGAAAAATGAG